GAGGGAGATGGAGGTCATTGGCTTTCCAGCCCTTACGTATCTCTTCCATTGGCGGCTCACCCTAGAAATCCTTGACACTTAGCCGCCACAGAAGGACTGGCCAATGAACACGTCCATCCTCACTCACTCTCCACTCTCACCATCCAATATAGAAAGGTAAAGATGGTGAGTGGAGAGTGGACATGTCCTGTGGCTTATGCACAGCCAGCAACACAACCACCAATTTTGGTGGCTCCCCAATTGAGAGTGAGGGTATGTAATGACCACTTGCCAGCCAATCGTGGGCAGTCCAGGGTGTATCTTCGAGAAACTTGCCTGAGGGGTATGTTTGCTTAAGTTTAAGCCCCAGTGGCCAGAGGGAAAAGCCTTCTCAGCATCTTCCACTGCTGATGGGTATGCAGGCAGGTCTCCGCTGCGCTGATTGAGTGGCTTGCGCCACTCCTTTCTCATGGGAAAATGTTCGGCATGATGTTTGTTGTCAGGTCCTCCGAGACATCTGCTTGGACGGGGTGAAGTAAAGGGCCCCCCCCAGAACTGCAGCAGCCCTTTTCAGGGGGTCCTGTATTAGTCAACCAGAAAGAAACATGGGCAACCCTGGAGCTGCCATCAAGTTTTCAGCTCGAAAGGCGCAGTCCGGCAAGGCAGCCACAGGGGAGCCATGGGACAGAGCATTTCCTTGAATTGGAAAAACTCATTTCGTGGCGACAAGGGCGCCGCGACAGTGAACGTGAACATAACAAGCCTCACCGCGGAATTCGAGCTGGAGGGCACCATATACGAGGTTGACTTTGGCGATGTCGAACTCTCGAGATCAGTGCGGGTCAGCAGCAGTCGCACGCTCATTGTGTCAAAGACGTTGCAGAAGCACTTCTCTGCAAAGTCGCCCTCAGGCTTCCACTCCTCTGTCAACCTCTCGGCGACGAAATCATCTCTCAAGCATACGGTGCATCAGGGCCTGCCGGGCCGAGTCATTGAGGCATGGGTGGAAGTGTCAGCTACTGTCTCGGTCCCCAACCCAACAGTTGAGCTTGAGGTTTCTTTGCATGTACAGATTTCCAACGGGCCTCCTTGGATTCCCAAGTTGGACCCCTCCATGGCGCTCAGGGGCGCCTGAAAAGGTCCCCATCGCTGAGTTTGGAGGCGAACAGCAACGGCTCTCCAGACTGCCCGCAGGTGGGTTCAGCTTTTAAGCCAAACAGAAAGGCAGGCGCTGACAGGAAGCACCCTGCGGGAAATTGGAACTTACTTGTCCAAAGCCGAAAGCCGACAGTTTCATCTGTTCTCAAGCGCTTTGGGCACGTGAGTCTGCCTCCGTCGCTTGGAAAAGGCCTGCGGGGCATCTAAAATGCGCCTTGAGTGTTCCCAGAGCTCACCTTTCTTAATGTTTAGCCTTTTGCCCATTGCTACTCTCCACATGGATGTCGGTTTTCTCCAAGGACTCCAAAAAGGGGCCCGGTTCCCCTGTTTCAGCACATCACCAAAGACCATCAGACATTTTACCTATTCCTTTCTCTGCACAAGAAACGAGGTCCTTGGGAAAAAGGATCTCATGAAGATCCTAGATGCTGCATTTCCAGGTGAACAAGTTGGGTGTTTCTCATGTTTTTCTGCGCCCCTTCCAGGTTGGTGTCCTTTTGGTTCCCCATCCAAAAAGGGGGGGTGCCTTTGAGACAGACCCGTCTGGCTTCCGCTTGGACCGCCTTCCGACCGAGTCAGCCCTTCTCCCTGGCGACGGTCTCTTTGCCCAGCCAGCCCAGCGCCAGCGCGCCCGGCGCCCGCTCCGCCGGGGGCGATGGCAGCGGCATGGCATCCGCGGTAGGCGCGGGGCGGTGGGGGGGGGGGGAGAGGGGAGGGGAGTGAGGGAAACCTGTCTTGGACTGACCCCAAACTGACCCATCCCTTGTTTCTCCGGCAATCCCAATCAGTTGATGTTCATAAAACTTCCTTCTCTGCTGACATGAACCCACTACGGGTAGATAGAGTGGCCAGGATCCGAACCCCAAAGCCAAGACCCAAAAACGTCCGGGTCGAAGCTTTGCCCGTGTCACGATCGGGTCGGCTAATTCTTGGCACTCTGCAAGCTCGTTTTTGGTAGCTGTCTTCAGCCTAAGCCTTGGTCACATCTGCGTTCAAGAGGAGTCAGGCAGAATGGGCCCAGCGTGGATGCCACCAATATCCTGTTTTTTGGGCGATCGGCACGAGGAATTGGAACCCTGAAAAGGCGCCCTCAGTTGATTTGGGCACATCCCTCTTTGTTTGGTGGGTTGCCCGCTCAAAATGGTCCTGAAACAGAGAAAGGTGAAAGGGTCGCCTTTTCTACAACGGGTTAAAAGGGCAAATCATTCTCTTGAAAAGGGTGCCTTTTGAGGTTCCATGAAGCGGCCAGGCAAGAACAAACCGCTCAAGCTGACTCCATGACTTTTCCTTGAATGAATTCAGCCTCCCTGCCATGGGCCACTGGTTGCAACTGGGCAAAATACAAGCGGGTTCCCTGTTGGCACGTCTTTTAGCTGCAAAGGGTACCTCTCCAAAAAAGCAGAAACCCCATTGCCAGGAGACCCAATGGGGTTCCCTTAAAAACCAGTCAGTTGTTTTTTCCCCGTGGAACTCCACAGGGAAATCCTGTCTCTACGAGGCTCCTCGGCGCTGCTGGCGGGATTTATGGCCTCCATGGCGGCAGCCCCCCACGGCCAGCAGATGCTGAGTAGCGCCCGCCGCAGCCCGGGCCCCGAAGAGCGAAACGCGGGGCCGCCGGGCGCAAAGGAGCAAAACTGGGGGTCTCCCCCAAAGGATTTGCCGCACATGCTGAAACAGGGGGTTTTCTATGTGATAGGCCCGTGTCAGACTTTGGCAAATCCGAGCAAGAAGGGAGCTTATTTGCTGGTTGCCAGTTGTTGCTTGTTTGGTGTTGGCTGGTTGGCCAAGCAACAGCTTTTGAGAGCGTCACTTTCGAAACCCCGCCATTTCGACCTTGAACCAAGCGGTCTCTGGGGGCCCGGCAGGCACAAGCTGGTCAGATGCCTCTCAAAGCTTGGTCCCAAGCTTTGTTTGATGGACAACTCAGAGGGGTGTACTCTGTGCATTGGCACTGGTCACCGGCCTTTGTGTGTTGAGATATTTTTGGCAAGGTAGCCTTTTTTGGGTCAACATGTGGCCACATCTTATGCGGCGGATGCCCTGAATATTGCAAGTAGGGAGACCCTTTAGCCTAATTTACCATGGTTTCGCGGTTGAGTGTGGCTGCTTTGCCTGCAACATGTAGGCATCCATCGTAATTGTGTTTGTCCTTTACTCAAGTGCTGAAACACATCTTGAAATCATCTTATAATAGCGGCCCCTGGTTTACTTTTGGTTTCCCTTTCAGCTCGGCCGCATTTTTTTCACAAGCCCATGCCTGCAAGGCTCGGACGGGGGAATGCCCTACGCCAAGCTGCTGGGTGGTGTGGCAGGCTTCGACGGGAACCAGCTCTTCGGGGCCCTGCAGGCGGAGAACTCTTTGACGGGTCTGAGGTGTCGGTGTGGCTGCTTATGGTATTCTGGCACAGGTTGATGGATATCGATTGTGGGCGGTCCCCCTATGTACACCTGAGGTAACAAATCGCTGTGGTTCAGCGGCTCAGCTGTCGCCGCTGTACCTTGCATCACCAAAAAAACTACACGCAGGCAACTCACGTGGCTGAAGCCGAAAGGATGCCTCGGCAAAAAAGCAAATCAGGTGGTGGACATGTTGGATTGCTGCTTTGGCTTGACTCACGCCCAAAAACGACTCCCGTATCAGAAACGCCCATGGAAGTTGCTCACCCGACTGCAAGGAACTCTGGGAGGGAGGCAGCGGTCACCTCAAGGATACGATACATTTGGCAGGTTAAAGAACTACTTGGTGCTGAGCTGGAGGATGTCCTTGGAAAGCAGGTGGTTTTTGGATCCTTGGGAAACTGTTTGCCGATGGTTGCAAACTTTTCCGTGATGTTACGGCCTGGTGCTCTCTTCCCTTTGTCCCTTAGGTGCCCCTAACACAAATCCCAGAAACACCGAACCGGTCCTTCCAACAAAAGCCCACCCAACGAACCTTTTCGCGGCAGGGCCTCAAAGCAGCGTCGAGCTGGAGGGAAGCTGCTGCCCGGCTGGACGAACTAAGGGGACTCTCGCTGAACAAAGCCTTGAACACAGGAGAGGGTGAAGAGATAGCTGTGGCTCAAAAACGTGGAGCCAAAATGGCACCTTGATAAATGGCCCCAAAGACGAAAACCCGCGTAACCCCAGCTCTTTAATTTTATGCCATACCCAGATGTCCCTTTGTTTCTGAGATTTAGCGAGACGGAACGGATGGGAGAAGAGAAGAAATGCCACTCCTTTCACCCAACCACCATTCTATGCTGTAGGTGAAAGAGAGAGGCTTCTTCCTCATCCATTCCACACCTCTCTAATCCCGGATTATCTATAGTTAGGTTATGAAAGGATCCGCAACGTGTGGATATGAGGAAGACATGGGTCTCTTTTCCTTTCTTTCTACGTCCTCTGTCTCCCATCTGTCGCCAGGCCGTAGCAAAGAGGAGGCAAGAGACAGATAAAGGGAGAAGCCACTCACTCACTCATTGCCCGCCCTCGTCTAGAGAATTGGAGGGGCCGGAATGAGTGTATGTGAGTGAGAGATGGCATGCCCGTCCTTTCACACCGTCCTCTCGCCTAAGCTCTTGAACTTGGAAAGAACTGACATGAGATGGTAAAGGGAGGAACAGGAGTGTAATGACAGTGACGAGTGAAGGCATCTCCCATCATATCACTCCTCTCCGTCTCTAGATGAGGCAAAGGAACGGAGTGAATGATGGTGAGGAAAAGAGTCTCTCGCTCTCTTCGTACCTCATCCCGCTCCTGAGCCACACGGAAGGGTTAGGGAAGAAGGGTTGGGATATGTTGTCTTTCTTTCCATCTTTTTTTCCTTACCATTTTTTGCAGTTTTTATATGAGGACTTAATTTGAGATAGAAAACGATAGAAGCTGAAATGGAAAAGAGATAGGGAAAGATGCAAACCTAAGGACTGTTAACGCCTGGTCTGGATAAGACTCGTCTTTTCAATAGTCTTACTGCTGCAGCTGGGACTAGATTTCATGGTCACTTTCCTTACGCCTCCAAGCCTCTCTTCTCTATCTTATGGTTTCCTGCCTCTCAATGAGAGCTAACTTGTGTTCAAGAATCATTGGTCAGGAGACAGCTCTCTTTTCATCTCTGGGTTACTTCCTCTGGTCCTATGTCACGTCGGAGATTCCAAGTGATGTAGAGAGTCCGGGCAATCAAGGACTAACAGATGACCATCAAATGAAGGGCAAAGGTGAAAGAGAAAAGAAATAGATAGAAAAATCATCTTAAAATTACTTTACTAATCTGTACCTCTTCCCGGCCTTTATCTTATGTTTGCAAATATTATGAGCAGAGGTGCCGGATAGAGAGCTATAATGGCCGGCGAATCTTCAAGTGTAATCCAAAATGTAATGCCAGCCATGTCATTTTTCAATATCCTTCCCGAACTCTTGTCACCGCCGTATCGAGCGGAGTTGGGTGTAGTTGGGTGTAGGAAGGAAAAGGATATGACATTCCATACTGATTGGCTCTCACCTATCATTATCTCCTGTTTCTATGACATGCTTTTCTTTTCCTAATGATCCAAGCTAAACAGGATATGATAGGTGGCAATAAGATCCAAGGTAGGATTTTACAGTTAGTAGCCAATGAAAGGCAAAGTGATAGAGAGATAGAACATTAGCCAAGAGCCTGCTCTCCAAGCACCTATCTCCCTTGGATTCGTTCGTTGATGGGCCCTATCCTTGCATCTCACATATTAATAAATAAGCTCGGGTGATATCCCCAACAGCATGCGGTGCTCTTTTCATTGCTCGCACCAGCCCGCAGCCCTCGCAGAACCTCGTGAAGCCCTGGTGGAACCCTCGTGGAACCCTCGTGGAACCCTCGTGGAACCCTCGTGGAACCTTACCCCAAACCCGCCCCGGACCACCCCGGAGCCTATCTGGGCTGAGACCCCGAAGCTTTCAGCGCTTGGGGAAAAAGAAAAGCGAAGATGCAAGGGAGAAGGGGGGTAACAGATAAAATGATATTCCTTTCACAATTAATTCGCTTCTTTTGGGTCTTTCTTTCGTCAATCTGGTGCATCCGCCAGACAAGACTTCATGAGCTACAAGAAATCCATGAAATCCGTTCATATGACGGGCTAATCCAGGAGGTGAGTGTACATGATGGGTGACACTCCTTCCAACTCATTCACTCCTTCCCTCACAGTCTACAACGGTTTTGAATTCTCTTTCCATGCTGGTTCGCACCAGCAATATGGGGAGTAGTCGGACTAGGAGATAGGGAGCTGGGTGCTGGATGGAGCTTACAAAGGGGGTCCAACAAAACAAGGCGATGTGTAAGCAACACATATTTGTGGGTACCATGTGAATCAGCTCATCTATTTGAGAGGGATATGCAGGACCCGCGAAACTGTCCACAACGGGCTCCAAGCTTTGCATGTCTTGGTTCAGCGGCAAACTGCAGGCCTAGACTTGTTGTTTGGCCAATCCACTCAGGAAGTTGAAAGAGAATCGACCGCAGTTGACATCCGTTTGCCCGTTGTGTTTGGCTCACTTCCCAAGTTTCTGGACTTATGTACCTTCAGGGACGACCATTGTAGAGGTAAACAGCAAGTCTGGAGTGAAGCTGACGGGTTGCCCGCCAAGAAGTGTGAGCCCCCAATGCTGTGTTGAAAGGTCCCATTCTCACCTGGGTTTGGGGTTCCCTCCAAACTGGACATGGAACACCCACAATTGCATAGTTGCTTTTTAAACCCAACAAAGGGTACCTTCAAAGAATGAAACCATTGCTAGGCTTACTCTTGGCCCACAGCAAAGCGTGGGTCCCTGGCTAAAATGTGCCCTAGAGTTTGCTTTGTGCGGGCGGTGCCGCGTTTGCCTGTTCGCTGATGTTTTGTTGTTCTCACAAGACCAGTAGAGACCCGCATGCTTGGAATTCAACGTGCTCCTTCACAGTCCTGTCATCAAGACAGCAAGAAAGCCATCGCTACCCCACTCGATTCATGCATCCTCTGGTCGTGTTTAACAGCCCCTGTTGGCAAGGCCTATGTAAAGCGAACGTACTTGCCAGGCGATGTTTAGCGGGCAAATATCAAAGACGCCGGACTAAGGCGAACGCGCACCTGAGGAGAATGAGCTCTGGAGGTGAAGATGAGGATGAGCCCGAAAGGGTTGGGGGGGGTGGGGGGTGCGTGGATGTCCTTGACAACTTCTGCGGAAAGCTTGGCTCAAACTGACGCGAGCAGTGGCTGTCCTTTGACTGGGTCCTAAACAAGCTTTGGGAGGTGGATTCCCTTTTTACAGCCTGCGCACTTCCAGGTTGGAAGAGTAACAAGATGCTCAGAGATGCTGTTTGGGTCCCAGAAACAGGTTCTGTTTGGGTCCAAGGGACAGGTGCAGGTGCAATTTTTGAAGAGGGACCAGCCTGCAAGTGCATGTGCAGACACAGTTGGATCTTCCGACTGCTTCTGGCAAGTTTGAATGACATATGCCTGCGGACATGTCCTTAAGGAAGGACTGCTTTGGTTTGCACAAAAAAACAGTGGGCATGCCAAGGAGAAAATTGAGGCTTCCAGAGTCGCCCCTAAATGTACCTCATACCCCGGTTTTTTGCTGAGACAAGCGCGCATATGATGCAGGTTCCGCACTCGGACGGGGGAATGCCCTATGCCAAGCAGCTGGGTGGAGTGGCAGGCTTCGGCGGGGACCAGCTCTTTGGGGCGCTGCAGGCAGATTTTGCGGAGAACGTGTGAGGTGTGCAAATTTCGGTGATGTTACGGCCTTGGAGCTGGTGCTCTCCGAATGGTAGAGCCCTCAAAACTGTCCCTGTGATTTGCCTTAGATGTCCCTTCCAACACAAATCCCACAAAACGCAGGTTTCCTTCCAAACAACCCAAAAAGCAACCCAAGAACGAACCCCTTCCGACAGGGCCTCACAGAAGAGTCGAGCTGGAGGGAAGCTGCCCGGCTGGACTGAAGGAGACAGGGAATCAACGGTTTCGAAATCAACCCATGGGCCCTTCGAATCCTCATTCCATGCTGGTTCGCAAAATAGGGGGAGTAGTCAGACTAGGAGATAGGGAGCGTAGGGAGCTGGAGCCTACAAAGGGTCCAACAAACAAGGCGATGTGTAAGCAACGCGTATTGAAATTGTTGAGTACCATGTGAATCAGCTCCTCTGTTTGAGAGGGGCATGCAGGACCCGCGAAACTTTCCACAACGGGCTCCAAGCTTCGCATGTCTTGGTTCAGCGGCAAACTGCAGGCCTAGACTTGTTGTTTGGCCAATCCACTCAGGAAGTTGAAAGAGAATCGACCGCAGTTGACATCCGTTTGCCCGTTGTGTTTGGCTCACTTCCCAAGCTCCTGGACTTATGTACCTTCAAGGGTAAACAGCAAGTCTGGAGTGAGCTGACGGAGCGCCCACCAAGAAGTGTGAGCCGCCAATGCTGTGTTGAAAGGTCCCATTCTACCAGGGTCACTTGCCACCTGGTTTTGAGTTTGCCTCCAAACTGGACATGGAACACCCACAATTGCATAGTTCCTTTTTAAACCCAACAAACGGCACCCTCAAAGAATGAAACCATTGCTAGGCTTAGTCTTGGCCCACAGCAAAGCTTGGGTCCCTGGCTAAAATGTGCCCTAGAGTTTGCTTTGTGCGGGCGGTGCCGCGTTTGCCTGTTCGCTGATGTTTGCTATGTTGGTGGTTCTATGTTTTTCTCACAAGACCAGCAGAGACCCGCATGCTTGGAATTCAACGTGCTCCTTCACAGTCCTGTCATCAAGACAGCAAGAACGCCATCGCTACCCCACTCGATTCATGCATCCTCTGGTCGTGTTTAACATCCCCTGTGCCGGACTAAGGCGAGGAGAGTGAAGTCTGGACGTGCTCGGGGCTTGACGGAGGATGAAGATGAGGATGAGAACGAACACGAGGACGAGGACGAGGATGAGAATGAGGAAGAAGCTTTGTCCAAGACGTACCTTTTGTGCTATGTTGTTCTTTGTTTTGCGCTTTTGTTGAATCTTGGTTCTAGTGATGAACCTGAGAAGTGCGAGATAGGCATCAACAAAAACTTATCAGGGATCAAACAAAACTTATTCGGGATCAATACAAAAACGTTTTAGGGATCAGGAAAAAACTTCTTCTCATTCCCATGTGGGGAAGGAAGGAAGGAAGGAAGGAAGGAAGGAAGGAAGGAAGGAAGGAAGGAAGGAAGGAAGGAAGGAAGGAAGGAAGGAAGGAAGGAAGGAAGGAAGGAAGGAAGGAAGGAAGGAAGGAAGGAAGGAAGGAAGGAAGGAGGGAGGGAGGGAGGGAGGGAGGGAGGGAGGGAGGGAGGGAGGGAGGGAGGGAAGGAAGGAAGGAAGGAAGGAAGGAATGAAGGAAGGAAGGAACGAAGGAAGGAAGGAAGGAAGGAAGGAAGGAAGGAACGAAGGGAAGAAGGCAGGAAGGCAGGCAGGCAGGAAGGAAGGAAGGAAGGAAGGAAGGAAGGAAGGAAGGAAGGAAGGAAGGAAGGAAGGAAGGAAGGAGAAAGGAATCAAGCAAGGAAGGAATTCCAGGGAGAAAGGAAGGAAAGAAGGAAGGAAAGAAGAACGGAAGTACAGGAAGGATATCTGAAACATTTTGAGAAACCTTTGTTGAATCATCACTTTTTCGAAGATCATGGGGGGGCTACCGCGCCCTCAACCCCCCGCTGATTTCATTGCAAGGGGATTTGGGTTGCGCTGATTTTTAGAATGTTTACAGAGATTAACGCGCCCTTTGCTGAATCATCACTTCTTCGAGCATCAGGGGAGGGCTGCCGCCCCCCCAACACCCCCGCCCGCGGGTTTTAGCATGTTTACAGAGATTAGCGCACCCTTCGCTGAATCATCACTTCTTCGATCATCATGGGGGGGCTGCCGCCCCCAACCCCCCCCCCCCCCGCACACCATTTGTTGAATCATCACTTCTTCGAACATCATTGGGGCCCCACCAACCCCCGCTGGTTTTTGGAATGTTTACAAAGATTAACGCACCCTTTGCTGAATCATCACTTCTTCGATCATCAGCCCCCCCAACCCCCCCCCCCGGCTGGTTTTTAGAATGTTTACAGAGATTAACGCACCCTTCGCTGAATCATCACTTCTTCACTCATCATGGGGGAGCTGCTGCCCCCCTCCAACCCCCCCGCTGGTTTTTAGAATGCTTGCAGAGATTAACGCACCCTTTGCTGAACTTCTTTGAACATCATTGGGGGCTGCCCCCCCCCCCCAACCCCCACGCTGGCTTTTAGAAGATTTGCAGAGATTAACGCGCTCTTTGTTGAATCATCGCATCCTCGATGTGTTTTTCTCTTTTTTTCCTTTCTTGCTTTCTTTGTTTCTTTCTTTGTTTCTTTTTGTTTTTTCTTTCTTTATCTTTCTTTAAATCTTTCTTGCTTGCTCTCTCTCTCTCTCTGTCTCTTTCTTTCTGTCTCTCTCTTAGTTTTCTCCATTTTCTGCATGTTTATTTCTATGTTTTTTGTCGCTTGCGAAAGTGTTGCGCCTGCCACACACTCTGCACCGTCCCTTGCGAAAGTGCTGTGTACCATACCTTGCGAAAGTGCTGCGCCTGCCGCGAAATCTGTACCTGACCTTGTGAAAGTGTTGCGCCGGCCGCGAAATCTGTACCGTACCTTGCGAATCCTTGCGAAAGTGTTGCGCCGGCCGCGAAATCTGTACCTGACCTTGCAAACGTGCTGCGCGTGCCACGAAACGAGAAAGTTTGTTTCTCCCTGACAAGTTGTTGTTTTGATCCTCTGAATTTTCATGGAATAGGAAATCTAAGGGAAGACGTTTTTTGACCCCTAATAAGTTTTTTTGATCTTCAGGAATAAAAAACAATGATGCTTATTTGTTTTTATCCCTCACCTTCTTTTGGGTGCCATGTGAATCAGCTCCTGTGTTTCAAAGGGGGACCCGCGAAACTTTCCACAACGGGCTCCAAGCTTCGCATGTCTTGGTTCAGCGGCATAGACTTGTTGTTTGGCCAATCCACTCAGGAAGTTGAAAGAGAATCGACCGCAGTTGACATCCGTTTGCCCGTTGTGTTTGGCTCACTTCCCAAGTTTCTGGACTTGTGTACCTTCAAAAACGACCATTGTAGAGGTAAACAGCAGTTGGTGGTCTATGTTGTTCTCACAAGACCAGCTGTTCTATGTTGTTCTCACAAGACCAGCAGAGACCCGCAGTCATCAAGACAGCAAGAAAGCCATCATGCATCCCTGGTCGTGTTTAACATCCTGTGAGGGAAAGGCCCATGTAAAGCGAACGTACTTTCCAGGTGATGTTTAGCTGGCAAATACCGAAAACGCCGGACGAAGGCGAGGAGAGTGAGGTCTGGACGTGTTCGGGGCTTGACCGAGGACGAAGATGATGATGAGAACGAACACGAGGACGAGGACGAGGATGAGAATGAGGAAGAAGCTTTGTCCAAGACGGACCTTTTGTGGTGTTTTGTTCTCTGTTTTCCGCTTTTGTTGAATCTTGGTGATAGTGATGAACATAAAAAGTTTCATAAAGTCACTGTTCATTCACGGTCTCTCATGCCAGCGAGGAAGATGAAGAGGAGGAGGCACCGAGTTTCGTCGCTTTTTTTAGCGGGAAGATTGGGTGGTGTTTTGTTTGCTCTGGATTTCGCAGGGGCACCCCTGTGAGCAGGAACGCCCTCCCTCCAAACACGGGAAGCCCTTCACTACTTTCCTTTTGGAAGGCGACTACTCGTTTTGGAAGGGAGGAGGCTGGGAGGGTAGCGGAGGGTAGCCTCCTTTGAACCATGGAAGCTGACAGGAGAGCTGAGAAGACTACTTTTTGGCGGGAAGCTTCGTGTCCACTTTCGTGATTGTTGGAAAGAAGGGGAGGATTCTGATTACTAAATATTTTGTCTTTCATGTCTGTGGAAGTAATCCGTGTGGGGGTGAAAAATGGCAGAGCGTGATATCCTCTTCAAAAGCAGAGCCGTAAGCAGAACTTGGGTGGCGTAAGTGTGCTGGGTGCTGAATAGAGAAAGCCCATGACGTTTGTTGGCCCAAGGGAAACCAAATGGATATGCCCAATGTTTTTTTTGCCGGACATTGCACACTTGGCACCCCAGTCCCAACGATATAGAGGTGCAGTTGATTCGTCACATGTGATTCGTCGCACGCGTCGGCTGCCCATAGGCTTCTCTGAGACCAGGTTTTGCAACGGAAACAGAGGAGGCAGGCCAAGAAAGGGACCTGTTCAATGCATGTGCCCTTGGCGAGTAAAAGGAAGATACTGTATGGCGGGGGGCCACGAAGTAGGAGATTCTTTTTCTGACTTACCACACGCGAAACCATTCCTCGGTGGAGGGTCTAAATGTCTTAACGCGTCCCGGCCAGGAGGCAAGTTTCGAGCGGCGCTGAGGATTCTTGCCAGTCCCTATATTTCCCTCTTGTTGCTTTAAACAGCACCAACCCCAAAGACCATGTTTAAGCGGATGTTTAAGCAAGTGGGGCGGTGCTTGGGGGAAATATAGGGCGCTCTGTTTGCCTTCATTTCGCCCAGCGTTTTGCCAAAGACGTGCCTCAGCTGAAGGGTCTCGGGCAGCACGACTTTTGGCACGAACGCCGGGTGAATGGGGGAAGATATGTGATGTACTGTGAGGGCCCGGATATTCAACGAGGAGGTGGATTAACTACGAAAGAGGGATTAGGTCATGATTATAAGTGAAGTGTGCGCGTGTCTCATTGTCGAGCTTGTTATGCTCCCCTACTTCCCACTAACAAAAGCGTTTTGGGAGAGAACCTAGGGATGCCCACCTTGGAACCTCTATATTTGCAGCATGTACTCATCGTCCGGCAAGACTTCATGTAGATCACCTTCATGGATAGGACGAGGCAGCCCCTGTCCAGTCCGATTCTTTGCTGAGAACCAGCTAGTTTCTTGGTGAATGAGAGTTATTGGTGCAGATTTGGCATGGCAGAGTGTCCGCTTATACGCCTCTTCGAGTGCTTCTAACGTTGTCTTTCGGGCCGATGCTCGTTGAGCTTATCCACGGATGATGTTCAAAGGGGGCACGGACTCCAGAGGAATATATGACATTGGGCGAACCATGTCGAAATCAACATCACTGTCTGAGACGGTTTCCACCAATTAATGCTAATTACCCCTGAGGGAAACGGAAGGGTATACTAGAACTGGAGAACCACTATGCGCTAGCGGAAAGCATTATGGCAAGGAAGCCTTGTGCAGCGCGCAAAGATGCCAATTTTTGGTGAACATCCCCACCCGCCCTTAGTGATGTATGGAAGGGGGCCGTAGGGGGGTGCGATTGTCCCGACTGGAGGGGGGAATTGGTGAACCCCAGCGAAGCACTGATGATTGATAATCGCTCTGTGACTCCCCAAGTCAAACAGACATGATGGGTGCCTTATGTCTCCGTGTTTTGACAGATTGAGACATTACCTTTTGTGTCAACATGTGCCAATAAAGGGAGTGTCCCTGCTTTTTTGACGGTTGGAGAACACGGCGACTCCCAAGACTTGAGTTCAATTCTTCCACTCGTCTCGACCAAGGCGTCACTTTGCGCGCTGGCGCAGGTATGCAAGCAGGCAAGCACCCAAGCAGCTGGCCAGGGCTGCCCTTTGCACCCTTCGGACAAAGAACGGCATGCCTGAAAAGCAGAACATGGACAGCCCTGCGACCGGCCAGTGGGCGCCAAGAGTAGGCCTCAGGCCCGGCCCAAGCCATTGGCAGAAGGCAAGTCTCACGAGGCCCATATTTATTGCTTTGGTCAGGGAGCAGAAGCTCCAGGGAGCAGCCGCTCGAGCGCCCACAGTGGTGGCGTCGCTAAAGCGATGCCGACTACGCGGCGATCGGTTGACAAAGGGCGGTCAGCATGCTTCGGGATCGCCTGCGCAGTTTCGCAATGATTCGGATCCAAACCATGAGGTTAACCCCTTAACCTCTTGTTTAAACATGCTGAACACTTTTGCTTAAACACTCTCGTTTTGGTTGAAGGGCAAGGAAACCAGGGCAATTAATTCTGGTTGTTGTAAACAAGTCTTGCTCCAAATAAGGCCTTAACAAGGGTCTCATTCCCACTGCAGGGTCAGACCGTCAGACGAAGCGAAGTTTGGAATTTTGGATTTGCACAGTTGTGATGCCTGTTTCAAAGGGCAGGGCTTCAGCCTGGCTTTCGCCCAATCAAACCCCTACTTCATCGCCAGCCCGATCCCCCCCAAAAAAATGAAAAGGAGAAGGAAACAGAAGGAAAACCCACCGTTTCCCCAAAAAGACCTGAGCTTCTGGCCTGAGGCCTTCCTCGCAACCCAACGACGCCAGGTGTCCTTGCTTCGCATGAAGGTGCCGCCGCTGCCGCAGCTCTGGGCCTTCCTCACAGCCTTCGGAAACGGGAAGCCCAGGCTCAGTGGAAAAAAGGGCGCCGTGTTTCTTCCCCAGAAGTAGTTCCACTTTCATTTTTGATTTTTGTACTTTTTTGGGGGTTCCCCTTTGTTTTCCACTACCAGGCAAAAATATCATTTTTTGCTGGGGTCCTAATCCAGCCAAGGTTTGGTAGTTGATTTGAAAGGCCCCCCCCCAATCTTTAAACACAGGGCCCAGTGGCTATGGGGGAGAAAGGGGCACTCCTTTTTGGATGCTTGATTTGAAACAGCACCTCTTCCAAAACCAGAGTTGGGATCCCAAGCGCGACGGTGATTCCTTTGTTCCACGTTACGGGGGGTTGAACAGGCCTTTAAGGAGTTCTAGCCTCCTTTACCCCTTTCGTTTGGAGGCCCGCCCTCTTTTATTGGTGATTGGGTGGTTGGGTAGGACGGGCTTTTCAAAAAGAGCGGTACACAGGTCTTCTTGTTCATCCAGGTCATTCACTTACTGCTAATGCTTTGTCAACCAAGATTGGCAGCCACACGAAGCTAGAAATCAAAGCACACGTATTGGGTTCTATTCCATGTGGTTGGTGTCTCAAAGAGATCAGCAGCACAGATGGTTTTTGGGGGGGCATTGAATCCCTTCGACTAAATACGCAACTCGTACTTGAGAACAAAGATAGCCTCCATAGCCTCCAGGAGCTGTATCAGACAAGTGGCTTGAACAAAATGCTCAGGATTCACCTGCTGCTGGTGTTAGTGATGCATGGCCTCGTGTGTGTACCTACTGCTTGTATGAGTGGTATATAGCCTCCATGCCTTCTCAACCCATGCCTGGCAAATATCCGTGGATCTTTGTGTGGTTAACAGGAAGCCAAATGTGCAATTTGCAGGGTGTTTTACCCCTATTTTCCGGGTTCAGCCGGGGATGAGGGAATCACCTATGAACCATCCCTTGTGCGCGTCTTGAGGGATCCCAGACTGTTTGTCAGTTTCAAAGCCTTGACATTCCTGACCTCAGAACCTCAGGACAATGCTTCTTGATACCTACCCCTCTAAAACAATGTAACGTCCAGTATACCTACCTGAAACAAGTAGCGTCGATATATAATATATCCTCCACACCTTCTACGTGCCTGGCGTCCGGCAGGCCCCACAGAGTTCGCTCCAAGCAGCACCAAGCCCGGCACTTGGCGCGCCACTTTCAGGAGCCGGGTCCCGCCAAACCGTCCACGTTCGCGTGCGGCTCGCAGGCGCTTTTTGCCCGCCTTGAAACTAGGCCGGTGTTCAGTCCGTACGCTTGCTTTTGGATGGTGCCTTTGAAGTCAACCCACAAAAGGAAATTCCTTCTTGGCCATGGTTTGCGTTATCTTGTTTGCTTATTGGGGTTTGGAGCTCACCGATTAGGTGAAACGAGCGACGACCGACGATGCAGGACCTTTAGTTTGGGATCCAATTCTTATTTCAGGTTCTGCAGTTCATCACGGCCCCCTGTGAATAATAATTTTAGGGGGGGTGTTCGCGCAAATTCCACACTTGGAACTTGCATAGTTAGGGATAATTGATGTTGAATTGTGACAACAAACCACTGGGGGTCGTTCTTTCAAGAGGAACCCTTTGATGAACCAGAGGAGAGGGGGTTTACATTCCGAGATCCGCAGGATCTCAGTTTTACAAGTGACCTCAACAGACCCGCCAAGCGCCATAATCGGTAGAGGCTTGAGAGTACGCAAGCGAGCTCATGTACATAGGTGGGCACAGAAGACTAGGACCTCCAAACAATATACCACTTGTTCAGGAGGATTTCAATACAGTTGATTTTCAGTTGAAGGATTGTCAACCCGGCGACCTGACCATTTGGATATTGCCCAATGTAGAGCGAACACCGCATTGGCGGTTCAAATGCGGTGCAAAGCTGTTCTCCAAGGCCGACTTGTCGGAAGATTTTGTTCAGAAAGCATCGCCTCAACTGAAGAAGTCAGCGTCGGTCGAGTTACTCGCTCAAAGCGAATCGACGTTGGACCCTCAGGGTTTCCAGTTTCAGCAACCATTTCAACCATTTTCTCAGGGTGTCGGACAGTGATCATCTGTGATTTTGCGGTCCTGTTGCAAGACCAGTCCCCCAGCGAATTATGGCAAGCTCCGTTCCAGATGGCTTGGGCGACATGCAGGGCAGCCCATGGATAGTGGCCAGTGGCAGAAGCTTCCGGGGTCGGAGTCTTTGCTGACAGCCGAGCCTCCCTTGGAGCTGTTCCCCCAATTTTGCCAGCCAGGCACACAGATTCCCTTTGGCATGCAGATTTCACGGTCGCAGATGCCCGTGTTCAGTTGGAAGGTAAATGTTCGATTCTGGGTTTCCCGTTGGCAAAGTTAAATGATTGTGGGAAGCAAATGTAAGCGAACTGGGCATGGAAGTAACTTGTGTTTGGGACCTCACCCAGTTCCATTTGGGGATCGCTGACTTCCAATCATTCGGAGGACTGCATCAACCAGAATTACTTTCCCACACCAGAGACAACCCCGGACCTGTATTGTCCCCCGCATGAATCCAGCTACTGAAAATTCTACCGGAAGCGAGCCAAATGCCCACCAAAGCTAGCCTTACTTCCTGCTGATTTCACAGCAGGAGCTGTGCCGGCTTCATTTGGGCCTGAGCACTCTCCAAGCCAGGCGCAGGGATTCGATTCGTTCGACAGACGGGGGCCGTTGCCACCCGGCCACAGTGTTTGTTTTTGGAAACCTAAGATGCCCACTCCAAGTTCAGAACCTGCTTTTAAGGGTCATCCCCGTGTTTTCTCAGGGATCCCCCAAAGTAGCTGGCTTTGGATGGTCACCGCTGGCTCCCCTTCTGTTTGCATCATCCCGAAAACTCTTTCCCGATGTTGGGAAAGACCCGAGCGACCTTTTTGTTAACCTGGGCCCTTTGTTCTTGCAGCGGCCCCAAACAGCATTGATCCCTTGGAGGAATTTCCTTTTGGATCCAACGGGAAACATGAAAATCATGAAAGGCCGTTGCCTCGTCCGTGCTCTACCCGAAACCCCGGCCAGGTTGGATCAGCTGCCTAACTTGCTGCAGCCACCCCTCGGGAAGGTCACAGAACTACAGCTCCCAGGAGTGCGGGGCCCCAGGATTTTCACACGGTCTGAGTTGGACATCACTCACTTTTAGGAGACAAAACCACAGACTTCTTTGCAGATCCAATCCACGGAATTGAGAAGGTGTGGATAAAGAAGACTACGGCAAACATCGTATTAGTTTTTGTTTGTTTTTTGAACGGGCAACGGGGCAGGGAAATGTTGGGAACTGCTCAACTCTCTTGTCTCGGAATGAGACAAGCCTTTTGTGCTGCCTTTTCAAACGAGCTTACTGTTAGCTGGTGATTTGTTGAAGAGCAACAGCAGATAGGAGTATATGTTAAAATTGAGGGACCCTGAAAGTTGTGGTGCACTTTTGAATTCTTGCTGAGCCAATCCCAGAAGGGTGCCCTAAGAACACACGAATCCCAAGGGTTCCTGTTCAGATTCCCGGCCTTCCGAGTTACGCCCAGTCGGCTAGAGGGTCGATGCTGGTGTATGTGGCGCCCATTTTACCCGGGCGGTGGAAGAACAGAGATTCAGATGATGGCGCGACGAAGCGGACGCCTCGACCCCTCCCAAAAGAGAACCCAGCTCCCATGGCGGGTGTTCGCACCTCAAAATGCGTACAACCAGACCCTGGTCCTCTTTGATCAAGCTCCCTGAGTTGCTGGAGTTTCCATCGGAGAAGACCATTCGGGCATTTTCGGCGACCAGGGAGTGAGGAAACCAAAGGCAGTGGCTCCCAAAGCCGCAGCCAGGTACTTGGCGACGGCGCGGATGTGGTTGGCACATATGCCCAGAGCGGCGCGATGGCAAGCTTAAAAGAGGCAGGGACTTGTTGGGAAGACCGTTTTAGTGGCAGTCGAACAAATCAGACTCTTGGACCAACCCACCCAGGAAGGGAGATACCGTCCCACCAAACGTGGAATGCAGAGGCTTCTTTTTTTTTTTGAGACGAGGTTCTGCTTTAAAGAGTGCATGTGCACTTCCATGTTTGGTGGAACAATGTGGGAATACATCCTAGGCTTGCCCCCGGGTGGCCCGTTCTGCGAATATCTTGTAGACATGTGGCCACAAACCAAACAAGGGCAGTCCCTGGCAAAACCCCGGGAAACATGTAGCCAGGTGCTAAGATAGCTTTTCCCAGAGTTATCCAAAAAGGGATGAGTAACTTCATTTTCTGGACCACCTATTTAGCACCCAAGTACCAAGATGTTTGAGTTGCCGACCAGATATCCGGAGTTCTTTGCTTTTGATTTGGGCGTTTCTCAGCAAGAAACCTATTATGGGGTTCTCCTCAACGGGACCAAAGCAAAAACCGAAGCTTATCCAGCCCGGAGCTTGGACCGGATTGTTGTGACCGCTTGGTCACTAGAAGTGCCAGGGTCTCTGATCGCTTCCACGGCCAGTGCACAGACGCCTTTTGGAAGGTGACATGTCCTTTCCAGGTGGGCAGATGAGGTGACTCGACCAAGCGTCTTTTTGGGCTTTGCAGCAGTCGGCTCCATTGATTGCCACAACTGTTTTGTGTCGAGCGCGGCGGCTCCGATTTTCTGATTGTGGCTCATTGATGTGGGTATATGTGGTTCCTTTACTTGAGGATCCAATTCTTACTTTACAGTTTGGAATGATTGTAAGAATGCGGATGCCATTGCATGCCTTTGTGCGCAGGCCGGCAGGAGAATGGAGGATAACGTCGAGCGGTGGCAGCTGGTTCGCATCGGCCGCATTGCCATGCTGCATCAGGAGCCGTGTCCAAGTCGGAGGTGTCGGGGGCGTGGGGCAGCCTGGGGTAAGACCATGGCGAATTTGGTCGCGCCCAGGTCATGGAAGCCATGTAAGCAAGACCTAAAGGGGGAAGTTCGCCCCTCTTCTGGAAATAATCAAAACACTCCGAACATGCTAGGGAGTGGAGGGCGGTTTGGGGGCAGGGTCTTACCGAAGTAAAGGATAGTTGCACATTTGACCAGCAAAGCGATTGAGGGGTGGATTGTTACAAAATTCGGGCTCGGGGGGGGGTCAACAGGACAATTGTGCCATGGACACCAATCAACACATCCACACTGACCAATGCCAAGTGTCCTGCATCCGGAGGCTACGGCTGATGCCTTGAAGTGGATGGCGCCTGGGTTTCAGCCGAGGACGTTTTCGGTAAAGACCGGCAGAAGTTGAGCCTCGTGAAGAGGGCCCGTAAGACTCGCCGGGGATCTCGATCGGGCGGGGGAGTGTCAATGGACTGGGTGAATTCTATGAGCGGGGTCTTCAAATTTTGGCACTGGCCCCCTATATGCTTGGCTTCCCATGAGTCTTATTTGTGCCCCTTTGAAAACCAGGGACAGGCTCATGCGTTGTAAAGCCCATTGGGTGGATCCCTTAAAAGGGAACCCTCAAAGGGGGTCCCTTAGGAAGTTTGTTTCCAGGACTCATGTCAGCTTGGATGGCAGGATATGGTTGGGAACCGCTCCTGTTGGTGGTGTTTTGCAAGATGGTGGGAGTCTTTCACCAGGGGTTACTTTTTGGAGATAGACACGGCTTGGTGCACAGGTTGACCCCTTCAAAGGGCTTGCCCTGAGAAACCCATCACTCGCACCCGACCGGAGTTGGGTGACCAGCTCTCACCCATTCCGTCAATCATTTGTTTGCGTGCCAATGTTGTGTGTTTCTTCAGGCCGGCAAGATAGCGCTCGGCTTAGCCAAGGTTTCAAACCGGTTGAAATATTCATTTTCAGGCCCATGGCCAGTGGATAGGCGAATGGTGTCCTGCTATGTTTCGAAGACACATGGCCCAGACGGGCTGTGCCATGCCAATCGACCGCGTTTTCGCCCCACCAATGGAGCGCTTAGCTGAGCTGTGCCAAGAGCCAGCGACCCTGCCGAACACAAGCCTGGAGTTTGGAACCTGACTTAGAGCGATTAGAAGAAGTGGTTATCCAGTGTCTCCTGTCAGGTGCAATGTTGCTTTTTGGAAGGACACCCTCGGTCCACCAATCATGGAAGTGGATAGGTGGCTTCTCCAAAGGAAAGTAGTCGTCCTACGATTGGAGGCAGGGTGTCAAACGTGTAACCTGTTAGTGGGTATCTTTGCGGCGTAGGGGCTGGGACCAAAAAGAGTTGACATGGAAACCAGGCCTCACCTTGTGTTTGGCAAGTCTCTTGCGAGCAGAGTTGATCAGTTTTGCACTTTGAGGATCTCATCGATTGGGGCAAAACCGATCTCACCCATGATGAACGCCTCTTTGGGATTCCTTCATTCAGGTGAGTGGGTTATCTCACTTGGTGTGGCAATTTGTAAGTATGTGATTCCTCTCAGGTACCCTCTTGAAATTTGAAGGGACCTCCTTAGTTCGTGCAGATCAGCTTCTTTCAATGCAAAGGTGGGTTTTGATTGACCAATTGGGCAGCCGTCTTGCTCAACAGCGCTCAGGCCATCATTTAAAGAGGTTTTCGAGGGGCCCAGAAACCAAAAGGCAAATTGGAGAACACAAAATTGTTTTGCGAAACTGAGTCTTTGAAGCCGTTCTCCCCGTCGTTTTGACGTTGGATAGGCTTCATCGGGCAGGGTCCAGGCAGGGTCCCAAAAGGTCAACCTGTTCGACCTGAGTTTCATTCCAAGCAGGTGAGTCAACACCTCACAACGTACTAGAAGCTCACTTCAGTGTTTGGACCTGATTTCAGGTTGTGTTAATGGAAGGTGAGAAAATGCCCGATGTCCTGAGAGGGGCTCTGAAGCTGTAGGTGTGAACCTCAACCGGGTCTATTCCATCGGACCGCAGCGCGTTGAGGCGAAGGGGCAGTTGAGTCGTTCGAGGGAACAACCCCTCAAAGACCAGGTCAAAAGAACGCATTTCCCGCCTGATTTAGAGGAGCCCTTGAGAGCAGATGGGTTTTGGGATGTGTTTTTTGGGGAATCTTGGGGAACCCTAGATGTGCGGTTTCCGTTATAGGCGTTTCTCACAAAGTCCCCCTCAATAGATATAGTGGGGCCCACGCAGTCGTGTCCTTTGTCTACCTTGGCTTTGAGATGGGCGAAGCAGGGTATGGCCGCATGAACGAAGTGGGGACGCTTTCAAGACGCCAGGACAAGGCCCCGACTCGCTCTTGGACCCTGTTCAGGTCCCTTTTAAAGTGTTTGTTTAGTTTTAGTTTTAGTTTACGCCTGAAGAACACTCAACCTCAACATGAAACCGAACCAAGTTTTGTTAGCCTTGAGCCCCTTGCGCTCTGGTTTCCAGCGGTGGGGACCGGCGTGCGGCTTCCCACGTCAGGGCTTGCTGGAGGGGGCGGCGCGCGTGCGCCACCCCCAGCGCATGTGGCAGAAACGAAAGTCCAGGCCGGGGAGAAGTCTGCACGGAGCGAGCTTCGTGCCTGTCGTGGCTCGTTGTTGAGTTGGGTTGGTTTAATTGGAAAATTATGGGGCCCGCCTATTTTGAGACCCATGCGTTTGCTTTCCACGGATAAACCAAGACCGACAACCGAAAGTGGGAGAGTAGGTTCCAAGGCCGACAGCGAGAGGCGCAGAGATGGCACGCCAAGAGAGGCCCCGAGGCCTCACAGCAGGACAAGCCCGAACCAAAGCTGGCCCTTCATGAACAAAGGTAGCCCTCTCACAGACATGATTCAGCAGGTGTAGGACTGTAGGACTGTCTGTTGTGACAGTTCCTCATTAAAATGCGTGTGTGTCTGTGTGTTTTTTGTGAAAGAGGAATACCCAACAATGTGTATATATATATATATTATATGTATACATACGTTTTTGTTGGGGGGGTACCCTTTTCACCTGGGCTTAAACGGAAACCAAAAGCAAGCCACAATTATTGACACAAACCCATATAATATGTGATGATAAAATCATTTAGGATGTGAATGTCCTGCCTCAGGGCACTGGTACGGCACTCACTATGAAGGCCACTTACTTGGGGAGTCCAAGTGTTTATAAGCTTCCGGTTGTAAATACTGTTTATGTTGCAGTTGTTTTCCTTTGGCGGTCCAATAAACAGACACTGTTTGAAGTAAGGTACTCGTTTCTTGGGGTGATGAAAGGAGTTGCTGTTTCCTCTTGTTTTCCCAATTTGCTCATACAACACAACAGGCAGAGCCGTCGTAGCCACATATTGTCTGTTTGTGGCTTGCAGTGAGTATTAAGGACAGTAGCAAGGACAATTCAGGGCCTTGACCTTCCTTCCCATGGCTGCCCATGCTATGAGTTGATTCTGACCCGGGAGGTGAGTCAGGGTTGGTTGCTTTGAGACTTCTGTAGGGGGTGGCTTGGGTGTAGTTTGTAGATGAACTCCCTCCGAACTGTCAGTCGCTCGACTTTCGGTTCCCACCTATCATAGAATTCGCCGACAGGAGGTCCACCTCCATCGTTCAGGCGCCCAGTACCCTCCTGAAAATGAACCTAGCTCCCAAAGCAACATGAGTAATTTATTTTGAGGTCCTATTTTCAACATGAAAAAGAAACCAGCACTTAGCATGTGTTCAATGCGGAAGACCTAGCGAGAGGAATCCCTCGACAGCGCAGCTCTCATAGCCACTCGCCAGGCGGGCGCTTTTCCTGTCGGAGATTTGGGCCCTGCAGCCCAGGGGATTGAAGTACCGTGGGAACCCTATGGATTTCATGGCAGACGGCTATGCGGCTATATACTATATGGCCATCGGAAAACGGCCCCAAGCTCGGGAAAAGCACTCGTTTCTGGAGGAATCTCTCTTGTTGGGGGACTCCTCCTTCGGTTCCTTGTGTTGATCTCTGAACTTTGAGTGGTGATGGGTTTTTCGTTTAAGTTAAGTGCCAAAAGAAGGCCGGCCTTTTTTCCCGATTGCCGCTGGAGACCCCTGGGAAGCGAAGAATTGTGCTCAAATTTGCCTTTTGGATGGACGTGATGTCACCACCCACCGGGCGATTTGGAGAGAGTTGCTTGCACGAACCCGAAATCGCTCAGGTGCCGGGGTTCTCAATCTCAACTGGAGCCTTGAGCCTGTCATGTTGAATTGGGCCCACAGCCGCGTTGCCACTGATCCCCTTTCGACGGATGAAAAACCTGGTGGACCAGGGGAGCGTTTCCCTCAGTGGGGGATGCCCTCTTGAACGATCCCACTGAATTCACACGGCGGCATCAGACTTGCGAAGCTGGCCAATTCAGGCTCGGGACACGGCTGCTCAGCGGGCCACTGGGTTTCCCAAGAAAAGGGCTCGTGTTGCAAATGGGATATGAGTTTTTTCTTCCAGGGTGACTGACCAAGGAGCCCTTTGCCTTCGCGTGAAAGACAAGGGAAAGCTCATGACAAAGCTCCCTCACTTCAGGGTTGGTTGAGTTACAGTCGTAGGAACTTGCCCAGATGATTTGCTCTAAATTGTGACTTGTACAAAGTCCACTATGCCTCATCATTTTGGTCGAATCCAAAAAAGCGTTGACTTGTCTTCGCCAGTCAACTCCTCAGGGCAGCTGGTAGTTTGTTTGTTGATTGCACACAAGCCGTGCGGCATGTCTTTGCGCTCTAGAAACAACAAAGACGGTACTGCTTTTGGCTGGATGCCCCGTCTGAAGGCCATCTCTTTCAATTGAACGGTCTGCAGCTTGCTGTCGTGTTCCCCTTGATTAGGGATCCGGTCTTTCCAGCTTGTAACTTTCCCTCCCATACACCCCAAGAACAGATGGGGAACTCTCCCTTTGGTAGGGAACCAAATGCGTGGAGGGGGCTCCTTCTGTTTTGTTCAATTGGGAGTGTGGATTCCTGACAGCTCTGAGGCCGTTGGTCCAGGACCCTTGAAAGCGGGGTTTCTGTAGGCTTGGCTGGAGCTGAGACTGCGAAGAAAGCTTTGAAGGAACAGGAAAGGTCATGTGCGCTAGGATTTGCATGTACTTGTAGTTTCTCGGGTGAAGGGTATTAAAGTGAAAGCGGCTCCGGATTAGTCAACCTCATTGACAACTAGGCCCCCCGTACAAGCAGTGAAGGCTCTCTTTTGCCTGGGGCAGCCCACCTTTGAATCACCCCAGGGTTATACAGAATTTATCCGAGGGTGCTCCAAAGGCAACCCTTTACAAGCCATGGCCGTTTGACACTGATCATGTGGGGGTCGTCTTAAAAAGTATAGCCTTGGTTTGGACGGTGCTGCCTTGACACCAATTCATCCGAGCGGCCCCAGAGCCCCACCTCTCCTCCAGAATAGTTTTACCTTTTGGGGTGGACCCAACATGTTTTTTCTTGGCGAAATCTGATTGGACATGGTGTATCCTAATGATGTGACTAGCCAAGTCTGAAAGTTTAGTTGGGGTCCAGTTGTGTCCAGCCATTTCAGTTCGAAATGATCAAGATGGGACGGATCTCTGGGAATATCTGGGAAGTCCATGTCTTGCTGTTTGCAAAGGTGCTTAGGGCTTGGGGCTTGGGCACCGTGCCGCGTCCGAGGCCTCAGCGGCGTCTTTGAGCCGCGGCGCCACGATGCAAGCGGACCGCGAGGCGGCGGAGGCGCGGAGCGGAGGCCTTGCAGCCAAGCGCAGGAACCGGTTCCTGGTTCCATGTTTGCTTTTGGAGGGGGGGGGGGGGCAATTGGTGATTTGGATTGGTTTTGGATTTGGATTTGAGCCCCTGGTTCTTGTGGGTAGGTGGGAAACCAGGTGGAACACCTCCAAACCAACCCAAACTTGGAGGAAAGCTGAGACGCGTGCATTGCTCCCTTTTAACCTCTTTTGGGAGGCGCGAGCCCCCTTTACTCCCCAAATTAAGATGGAGCCCCAAAAGCCGTGATTTTCAGATGAACCCTTTTTGTTTGGGGGGGGTGCCAATTTTAGGTTCCATGGCTGGGACAAGGTTCCTCAAATAATCTCCGGCCAAATCAAACACGGCTGCATCAAAGGGCTTTTTCTACGTGCACCAGGTGATTGTTATCCACTATTAAGCCTATCACAGTTGGGCGAAAGCAGATGGCACAATTCCCTCGGTTTGATTTACTCATCCCCTTCACTTACCCACAAGGAAATTGTGCCTCTGAGGATGCACGATTTGCACCTTCGTCAGGTGTTTTGGAGGTTTCCCTTGTCAAGCAGGTGGTTTGGATGTAGCCTTTAAGGAGTGCCTATGTGTTGTTGTTTTTAATATATATATATATATATATTATACAGGTAGTCTGAGACGCGCAATGCCTGTGATGGAACCAGTTGCATATTCAGGTTGGTTGAACAGGAAACCGAAAGGAAAGCCACCTTTGCTCCCGTGAGCAGAAGGGACACAAAATCTGTATGGCTGTACCTTTCCCCTTTGACCACGGATTCTTTGGAGTTGTCCTTGTTTTCCCTCCAAAGGACAAGAACCGGGGATCCACCTTAATGTTTTTCCTCAAAACGCGGGAACCCTGAAACAGGCTATCCCTTTCCGTGGCCAACGACCCCAAGAAGAGTTTCCTTGTTCTCCCAGTATACACTGGGCAACGAGTCCTCTCCAGAGACGTGAAAACTGGTTCTTTCCCTTCCTTGGCAGCCGAATGGTTCAGTTACGAAGTATTTTCCTCTTAGCTGGATTTAAGCGCGGTCTGCTGGGCTCATAGCTATTTGGACCGAACGCCTCCATTTTCGGCCAGTGTTCAACCATCAGTTGGGGTTGAAATGGCCCGGGAGGTTCCCAGCCCAGGGCTGTGGGTATACTCCTTAGGCATACGCTTTTCCCCAAGAGGTGAAAGCTAAGGGGTCTCAGCCCAGAAGGTTTGGGGGTGGCTTGGGGGAGGGAGTCAGGTTCGGGCAAGAATCCGGAGGTTCCGGGATGGCCTGGTGCAGGCCAGGTGTAAGGTTCAAGGTTCCGGGGTTCCGGGGTGTTGTGGTGCATTCAAGGAAGGCTCAAAGTTTTGGGAGGTTCCCGGTGGTCCTGTGCATTCAAGGAGGTTCTAGGTGGTCTGGTGCAGGCCAGTGGTTTGGGGCAGCTTTCATTTTAGGGAGGGTTCCGAAGGGTTCCAGGGTTGCAGCTGCTGCGACACCACCTGGGCTTATCTTTTCCCTTCTCTGGCAGAATGAATGCTCAATCTAGCTTCCCAGCGCAACTCGATGCGTTTTCCCTGAGGTGGGGGGTTGAAGGGCCGTACGGGTGTTCTTTACTGACAGGAATTTTGGCCCAGCTTCCTGTTGGCGTCTTCCATAAGTGCCCGAAAGGGGGGAGGGTGCGTGGAACTTCTGCGGAAAGCTTGGCTCAAACTGGCGCCAGCAGAGATGGACACCTAGCTGTCCTTGCGCTGGGTCCTAAAAAACCATTTGGGGGTGGACAAGATGCTGAGAAGAGATGCTGTTTGGGAGGTACAGGTGCAATTTTTAAAGAGGGACCGTGTTTACGGATATTTGCTTTGGTTTGGACGGAATGGCAGCGGGCATGCCAAGGAGAAATTGAAGGCTTCCAGAGTCGCCCCCTAAAGGTGCACCATACCCCGGAATATTTGATTATGATGCCTTTAGACTTTAACTTTTTGGGAAACCAAGGGGTTTTCCACTACACCCCCAAAAATTTAAGCTTTTTGCAGGGGGGTCAACAGCAGCCAAGATGCAGGTTCCGTACTCGGGGGTTCTCAACTCAAGGTGGTGAGATGTGGTAAGTGGCGCAGATTTGTGGGACCCTGTTGTACATTACTAGTGGGGTTGTAGCCTCTGACTTCCGTGTGAAGCAGGCATTGCATTCTCTGAATTTGCCCTAGATGTGTGTTTTTGTTGCGCGGCACTCTCGGAGGAAACAATCCATTTGAGGGGGTCGCCCATGTTGAAAGATCCCTGATACACCAGGCAAGTTTGCACAGGCCGCCTTGGAAGCCCAACGGGGGCTTAAGCCAAGCTTGGCTGAAAAAAGGATGTGTGTGTGTGTGCTTGCTTGCTTGCTTGCTTGCTTGCTTGCTTGCTTGCTTGTCTGTCTGTCTGTCTGTCTGTCTGTCTGTCTGTCCGTCTGTTTTTTTTGTTTTTGTTGTTTTTGTGTGTGTCTGTGTGTTTGCGTGTTTGTGTGTTTGCTTGCTTGCTTGCTTGCTTGCTTGCTTGCTTGCTTGCTTGCTTGCTTGCTTGCTTGCTTGCTTGCTTGCTTGTTGTTTGTTTGTTTGTTTGTTTGTTTGTTTGTTTGTTTGTTTTGCGCTTGTGTGTTTGTGTTTGTTTGTGCATGTGTGCGTGTGCGTGTTTGTGTGTGTGTGTTTGTGCCTCTGTGTGTGTGTGTGTATGTTTCTTATTTCCTGTCAATGTTTACAGTGCCCCATGGTTCATTCCTGGGAAGCTAGCACAATAGACCCGGTACTAACAAAGCATCATATTGGTTTTCCTTGAAGCCACACGGGGATGGACAAAGTCTTTTGGAGAACCCGTATTCACCACCCAGTGGCCTTTGCGAATGTGTGTTCAAACCTGCACATCTAAGAAACCCTGACGTGTCAGGGCTTGTTAAGGACAGGTTCAGACCTTAGATTCCCATGGCGGATGGCAGCCGCTGCATTGGCCCGCTAGCTGGGGCCCTGGTGCTTCCAGCGATATCAGAGATCTGTGGCCTTTTGCCAACTATGCTGGTTCATGTTTGGGCAAGGTTGGCGGGTTGTGTGGTTTTCCCAATTGGGATCCATTTTGAGTCAAGGTTTCGAAACGTTACCCTGCCGATGTTGCGATGGAATTTGGCAGAGGGCGCTTTGTAAAGGGAAGAGGCCTTTCATCCCCCCAAAGAGGTTCAATAGCGACATAGATGGGGGGGGGTCACCGTTTGTTTCCACGTCCTTTTGAGCCATTGAGGAACATCTACAGGAAACCAGCTCTTGAACGGTTTTTTAAGGGACACCTGGAGAAGGCCACTCATTAGGGGGTTCATCTTCAGGGACGCACCCATATTTACCTGCTTCAATGCGCGTTCCCTAGTTCCCTGTCACCCACTTCAGTGGTGCCTGTAGGCGCGGCAAGTAGCGGGAATGAGCGCCTGAACCTGTCCAGACGGCAGAAAGAAGAACCCTCTTTGTTGTCCCTTTTGGGGGGGGGGGGTAGCTTGGGGGCCAAATAACTGTCGACGACCAGCAATAAAGAAAAGATCGTTTGGTTGAAGTTTTGGGTGTGGCTCTAAATTGGGGAGCCCTCAAAGTGGCGGTGTTACATTTAAGTTCTCTTTGAAGCCGCCCGAAAAAGTACCCTCCAATAGCGACACCCCGTACCTTCGGAGGTTTCGGTCTCCATCTCCCCGCAGCTTTCTGGCCCAACCCCCAGTCACCCGCGATCCGCGCGCGAAGCGCCGAGAAGGGATGGGCAATGGCCAGTGCAACTGTCTTGGAGGGACGGAAGAACTTGGATTTGCGGCCTGGCGTGAAGGGAGGGGGCGCATAAGGAAGAGGAAAGTAAATTGTTGACGGAGATGAATTCCCGTGTAGACGATGAGCACCGAAGGGTGCCTCATTTAGATTCATATCGGGCCGGCCATCGGGAGGGTTGCAGCTGGAGAAAAAGCCAGATAAGCATGTTTGACCTGCCCTGACAGGAGAAAACAGATTGAACGTATTCGAACATTTGCAGCTTGTTCAAAGATGTGTACCCTGATGCCAAGGGCAGGACCCTGGAGAATGCTTGGCCACTATGACCCCGGAATGTTAAGCTCCCTCTAGCCATTGTAGCTATCACGCGCCCATGTGCCTGTCAAAACTAATTGGCTTAGGGCGGCTTGCATGAATTGAAGCGTTGAGCTTGTCTCCAACCAGGTTGACCAACTTTGCGGGCAGCTTGAAGGAGACAGGGCGACTGGGGCCCCCAAAGTTGCCAACCGTTTGCTATCTGAGCCAAACATCCAGTGACGGGGTGGAACAGGGTTGGCCGCACCTACGAGTCGATGTATGGGCGGTTTCGTCAAGATACGGGCGTAGGCGAGGGTTTTCTGCGTGAGCACGTAGTTTGATTCTGGACCGATTAACTTAGGATCGCCTCGGGGCGGCTTGAGGTGGCAAACGCTCTACCATCTGAATCTACCAATTCCTAGGGCTGTCAAGGGCCCTTCAACATGGGCCCTCGAATTCCAACGTTGCGTCTCGCGGACTTAAGCTCACACCCGGCATGCAACATCGCTAACCCGAGCATGTCAACACGTGGGGCTTCCATGTTCTTGATGGATTTTCTAGCAGGAGCAGCGTTTGTCAGTCCTCCCTTTGTTTTACAGATTGCTTTCCCCCAGTGAACAGAGCACTGGAAATTAAGAAACATGAGGTAAGACCGCACAGCTTTGTTTCTTGCTTTCACAGATCCAGTCGGTGAACATCGCACTGAAACTTGCGCAACGCTGCCGTTCTTGGCGGTTCAACTCTGCTTATTTTCAGAGGACGGGCAGCATATGTTCCGTCAGTTTTGCGCTAACCTAGTGTTGACCCAGGTTTATCATCGGGGTTCCATCACAAAATCTTCGGGGGACCTCAGGTTACTGCGGACGAGTTTGCGGACCAGCTGGAGAAAAGCCGCAACGAGGCACAGGAATCAGAGGGATTTGTTTGGCAAGTTTCA